TGAGTCAGGGTATTGTTCTATCGCTCAGGCTGGAGTGCAGTGGCACGATCTCAGCTCACTGCAACCTCCACCTCCCGGGCTCAGGTGATCCTCCTGCCTCAGCCTCCGGAGTAGCTGGGACTACAGGCCCCGGTCACCAGGTCAGGCTAATTTTTGTATTTTTAGTAGAGAAAGGGTTTCACCGTGTTGGCGAGGCTGGTCTCAAACTCCTGATTTTAAGTGATCTCCCCGCCTGGGCCTCCCAAAGTGCTGGGATTACAAGCATAAGGCACCACTCCTGGCCAAATGTTGCTTATTATTAACAGGCAAGTATAGAGAAAGAAGGAAGCAGAGGATGATATAGGTCTGCTTGCACTCTCCAAAGATGTGATAATAGTTTTAACCATTTTAGAAAATATTTGCAAACCATGCACCTGACAAAGGACTAATATCCAGACTCCACAACGAACTCAAACAAATCAGCAAGAGATTATTTTATAAATAAAATAATCCCATTAAAAAGTGGCCAAAAGACATGAGTAGACATTTCTCAAAAGAAGACATACAAATGGCCAAAAAACATACGTAAAAAAGTTCACCGGGCACGGTGACTCACACCTGTAATCCCAGCACTTTGGGAGGCCGAGGTGGGTGGATCGCTTGAGGTCAGGGTTTGAGACCAGCCTGGCCAACATGGTGAAACCCCAACTCTACTAAATCTACAAAAATTAGCTGGATGTGGTGGCGCACGTCTGTAATCCTAGCTACTGGGGAGGCTGAAGCATGAGACTTGCTTGAACCCAGGAGGCAGAGGTTGCAGTAAGCCGAGATCCTGCCACTGCACTCCAGCCTGGGCAACAGAGTGAGACTCCCTCTCAAAACAAAACAAAAAAAACAAAACAAAACAAAAAAAAGTTCAACATCACTAATGATCAGGGAAATGCAAATTAAAACCACAATGAGATACCAGAATGGCCATTATGAAAAAGTGGAATAACAATACATGTTGATGCTGATATAGTAAAAAGGGAATGCTTATACAATGCTGGTGGGAATGTAAATTAGTACAGCCTATACAGAAAACAGTATAGAGATTCCTTATAACACTAAAAGCAGAGCTATCATTCGATCCAGCAATTGCACTACTGGGTATTTACTCAAAGGAAAAGAAGTTATTATATAAAAAAGACACCTGTACACTTATGCTTATCACAGCACAATTCACAATTGTGAAGAGGGTGGGAGGAAGGTGAGGGATGGAAAACTACGTTTTGGAAACAACGTACACTACTTGGGTGACCAGTACACTAAAATCCTAGACTTCATCACCATACAATTCATCCATGTAACCAAAAGCCATGCTACTCTTAAAGTTATTGAAATTTTTTAAAAAATTAAATAATAATTTTAGCCACTTTATATATCTGTATATAAACTGGTATATATGTCATATCATATATCTATCTTATATATAGTATCATATATACTTTGTATCATGTGTATCTTACATATATCTCTCTCTATATATATATATATGTCTGTCAAGACTTTTTTTTTTCTTTTTTTTTTTTTGAGATGGAGTTCCACTCTTATTGCCCAGGCTAGAGTGCAATGGCGCTATCTCGGCTCACTGCAACCTCCACCTCCTGGGTTAAAGCAATTCTCCTGCCTAAGCCTCCAGAGTAGCTGGGGTTACAGGCGCCCTACCACCGTACCTGGCTAATTTTGTATTTTTCGTAGAGACGGAGTTTCACTATGTTGGTCAGGCTGGTCTCGAACCCCTGACCTAAGGCGATCCACCCACCTCAGCCTCCCAAAGAGCTGGGATTACAGGCGTAAGCCACCATGCCTGGTCTCAAGTAAGACTATTTTTTTTATTTGAAAGATACATGTGTTAAGAAGAGCCTAATAGAGTTTTTATAACAGCAAGCTAATACCAGAACCTGACTCTTTTGTGTTTTGCCTGTTTCTCACTACTGGACACCATGAGCTTCTAAGTGAAACCAGAATTCATTTCTACCAAAAATTCATCTCTACCAAAAAAAATTTACTTTTTTGACACAAAGTGGCAGATGCATGCATGGAAGAAAAGAAAGCAACAGGCCCAAAACTCTCTTACACCTTTCCCACAAGCTGTGAACCCCAGTCATGGTGTTACAAGCTGAACTGCTGGAGGCTCCCCACACCACCACTAAGTCAGTCTTATGAAAAAGAAACCGTTGTCAGTGATTCTGTTAACGTTCTTTGGTTGCAAGAAAATAAATAGAATCTGGTTCTCTTAAGGCAGAAAGGAATGCATGGGAGGGACAAGGGACAGCCTACAGAAACGCCAACACCCCAGACTTATGAGAAGGCCCAAGCAGAGCGGTTTCAGTAATCACGGTTCATTGCAAGAACCGTCAGTCTCCACCAGACACTTCTATCAGGATAAAAAAACCCTGCAACTATTTTAGATCTTTATCATCCCCCTCAAGATTCAAACTCCAGGAACAGAGCATGTGATCAGGCTAGCTTATGTCTCATATCTACCCATTAGCCAAGGAAATGCAAAGCACCAAGACAAACATGATGAGGGAAGGATAGTTCCCCTAGGCAAAATCGGGATATGGATACCAAAATAAGAGAGAGGAGATGCTGAACAGACAAAATCAATACACGCCCACCACAGTCCACACAGCATCGCACATCTGGAAACTTATAAATAATCAGCCAACTCATTCACTGAACTTTACATCTTCTACACTTCTCAATCAGATCTGAGATGGAGGAGGTGTTACAAGAAGCATAGAGAGTTGTTAAGAATAAGGTCCAGGGAGGCAGTCCGAAGGGTTAAATCTTACGTCCACCATTCACTAGTGGTGAGAACCCCAGCCAAGTTTCTTAACTTCTCTGTGCCTCAATTTTTTCCTTTCTTTTTAAGAGATAAGGTCTCACTCTGATGCCTAGGCTGGGGTACAGTGGCACCATCATTGCTCACTGCAGACTCCAACTCCTAGGCTCGAGTGATCCTCCCACCTCAGCTCCCCAAGTAGCTGGGATTACAGGCATATGCTGCCATGTCTGGCTTATTTACTTATTTATTTAGAGACAGGATCTTGCTATGTTGCCCAGACTGGTCTCAAACTCTTAACTTCAAGCGATCCTCCCACCTCGGCCTCCTAAAGTGCTGGGAGTTTCTTCATCTGTAAAACTGGCATGATGATATTAGGTGGGGGTCCTATGAGGATGAGAGACTGGGAGGAAACAGCAGTGAGGCATGGAATGCATTTATTTAGTGCTTTTCTGGCATCGGATAAGCACTCAAGAAACATTAGTTACTGTCATCTAGCTGTCTGGCACTGTGACTTGCATAAATAATTCTCTCCCCCTTTTAAAGTGTCTTGTTTTGATTCTTGAGTTTCCTCGAGATGCTCCTATATAACATCACAAGATCATAATAGAAATTCAGAGTGAGAAGCATCTTTGTTTTTCTTCCCTGCCTTGTTTCTCTCCTACCTGAAAAGAATAGTCAAGACTTCATTTAGATTTCAAGCTAATGCTCTGTGACAATTGTTCAGCGTGAGTAGCATTCAAAATAGAATTCCAGTGAGTTTTTCTTCTTTTCTAAAAGACATACAGCTAAGGTTAATAGAGGCGCCACTTTCAAAATATATCTGCCCTGAGCAACGTAAAAGGATTATTTAAAAGGGCACAGTGTATAGGACACACCTTGGTATTAAAGGTCTAGCAACTAAAATTAATTCTATAAGCTCCTACACACACCAATTTTCATTGACTCTGAATCTTCTAAATCATACTTTCCCCTTGTTTAGGGAGGTCTACGAAAATAAGTAAAAAGAAGAAAAATCTTTTCATTTACAAACCAATGCAGAGACAGTACCTGCACCTTTTGAACATTTAAAGATAAATGACTTTGTCCTTTTGTTGTTTCTTTCTTCTTTGTTTTTCTCTGCAGAGTTGATTGACGGCAATAACATAACAAAAATGAAACACTGATTTCCCCTCATCAAGTCTCACTGCTTTTTAAATTATCTTGGATAGCCTTCATTTGTAAATACCTTATCTTTGAGAACAAATGCCTTTAAATTTCCTCTAGTATAGCTTTTACTGCATTTTAATCAAAAAACATATCTTCAACATAAGTAAAATAAAGAAAGACTTCTGATTTTTTTTTTTTTAAAGAAAACCCTTTCGTTATGGCCCTAACAGGATTCTTTTTTAGCTTTTTCAAAGTTGAAAATAGAGCATAAAGTTCTAAATTAGACTAACCATTTTTCCTTCAATTACATTCCTGGGATAGACATTTGAAATAAATTTCAAGCTAACAAACTATTGCTCAAAATGCTCTCAAAAGTATTTCAAAGTCCAAGATTATGTCTTCAGTCTCTTACACTTGTTTACTAGCTTACCTCCATTAAATCCTTTGAATTATTATTCAAAAGCAGTCACATTCGTTTACTCTTAATTCTGTTGGCTTAGTACTTCAGTGCATAATTGTACTTTCAAAGTTCTTTGAAGTGGCTTCATGCTATTTACATATTACATAATTCAAGGACTAACCAAGATATTACAAAAGGGAAAATGTTCAGTTCTATAACTTGTTAATTAAGACTGCAGTACCTATGTAAAGATAGCTGTAGATAATCTAGAAGTCTCTAGAAATAGGAAAATTGTCTCATAATACAGGGGAAAGGGAGAAGAAAGCTGACACATTTTTAGAGTAAATCCCAACATGACCTGAGGTCTCACTTGGTGCCCATTTTGCCCTTATTCTCTAAACCTTCTTCACTTAGACCTACAATTTAAAAGATAGAAAAAAAAAAATAGGGGAAATTAAAGAGGTATCTTTGGTGCAGATCCTCCTAACTTCTAACAAAAAGTCTCATGAATATTCACACATAATAACAACTGAAAAAGAGCTTAAAATAAAGTTGAACAGATACACTATTGCCAAAATCTGGGAGGAATTTCTCACAACTCTATGGCTTATGAAACTGGATAAAGAAAAAAAAAATCCTTACCCATGCGTGGGTTCATCAAACGGAACAACCCAGAGAGAAGGTAGGAAGACATTTTATCCTCTTTCACTCTAGTCTCATGCCTGAGAGATCCAGGATCTGTACCAATAAGAAAACTCGGTGAGCAGTCATCTAGTTTGAGAGTGCCACTTTGGGATGTATGGTGAATACTGTCTCCTTACACACTCTCCCAGCTGGACCTTGGGATTTCTACAGTTGTCCATCATCACCCACCCCCTTTGCGATTTCAAAGGAATCCCCCATTGTGTATCATATTCATTGCTTAGGGCTGCAAGAACATTTGAAAACAAACCAAATGGCTTAGAACAACAGAAATGTATTTTCTCGAAGTCTTGGAGGCTAGAAGTCTGAGGTCAAGGTGTCAGCAGGGCCATGGTCCTTCTGAGGGCTTTAGGGGAAGATCCTTCCTTGGCTCTTCCCTGCTTTTGATGGTTGCTGGCAATCTTTCATGTTCCTTGGCTTGCAGCTGCAGCACTCCAGTTTCTACCTCTGTCATGTTTTGGTCTTCTCCCCTTGTGTGTCAGTGTCCAAATTTCCTCCTTCTCATAAAGACATCAGGCACTGAATTAGGGCCTACCCTAATGATTTCATCTTAACGTAATTATATCTGACCCCATTTTTAACTAAGGTCATCTTTCCAGGTATTCGGGGTTAGGACTTCAACATTTCTTTTTGGAGGACACACAACTTGAGTATTCTGGTGTGAGACAACACCCTGCTGCTCTGTTTTTCAGAGAAAGGAGTCCAACCCAGGCACATGACCTAATTCCAGCCCACTGGATGCGCCCACTCCATATATTAATAAAGTTAGATTAAGTGACGCAAAGGTAAAAGACTTTTACATTTCATTCCCAACTGCAGCGGTAACGCCCCGTCTACCATCCCAATACTCGTACAATGTCCTAACTTCTTCCAAAGTATTAAATCCTTTCCGGCTTAAGATAACCAGAAATAGTACTTGGTATTTGGGAATGGCAACTTTCAAAAATATATAAATGGGTGACACAGAATGAGGGGCTGCAGAGGTTCATCTCTCCTAGAAAAGAATGTATTCTTAGAAAAGCTAAAACAGAACAAGACTGAAAGAAGTACATGCAAGGGTTATAATTTTTATATTTGAAATCCGCTCAAATGTGAAGTTTCCAGACAAGAGGATTTAAGAACCTCAGTACTGAAATCTGTAAGGCATTGGGAAATGAGCTAGTTTCTTGGGTAGATTTGATACAAGAATTTAGCAAACAGCGAGAAGCGCCATAAGAAAAACACATAACCCTGCTGGTAAACATTATCTGAATAAAGATCTCCTAATTTGAGGATGGATAGAGATAAAGAAAGGCAGAGATGTGCTCAAAGAATGAAATATGCAAAACATTAAAAAGAGAATATCATACTGAAGAATTAAAAGAGCATTACACTGATAGTCATTTACTAGTAGAAATAGAGGAAAAATCATTACTAATTTTATAACACCCCTCAAAAGGATGCCATGAAATTTCTATGAAATAAGAGCAGAAAATCAAATGTAAACTAAGAAAGGAAAAACAGCATAATGATGTGGAGACACAATTTATTAAAATTAAAAAAATGGGCCGGGTACAGTGGCTCATGCCTGTAATCCCAGCACTTTGGATGGCTGAGGTAGGTGGATCACCTGAGGTCAGGAGTTCGAGACCAGCCTGGCCAACACGGCAAAACCCTGTCTCTACTAAAAATACAAAAATTAGCTGGGCATGGTGGTACATTCCTGTAATCCCAGATATTTGGGAGGCTGAAGCAGGAGAACTGCTTGAACCCAGGAGGCTGAGGTTGTAATGAGCTGAAATTGTGCCATTGCACTACAGCCTAGGCAACAAGAGCAAAACTCCATCTCAAAAAATAAAATAAAATAAAATAAAACAAAATAAAAAGTAAAATTTAAAAATGTAATTTAAAGTATATTAAAGATTAAAATAACCAATGGAGACATTAAAGAATAGGATTGACGATATTGTGAAAGTTGGGCAGAGAGTTATTTTAGATTTTGTTTTGTTTGGCTTGTTTTTCCATCCAACCAAAGGGAAACACCTGCCTGGCTAAAAACACAAATAAAACAAGGACGGAATAGTGAGTAGCGTTGGTGACTCTCAAATCCTGTATTTGCCATGCACCTCTTCATAGACTTATACAAGTAAGGTAAGAATCAAGTCAGAAATAAATTTTCTTGGTTTCCTAAAACACTACAAACTGCGGTATAAACTGCCAGTTTCTTTGCCATATTTGTCTGATACTTTAAATAGCATAGGGCTTTAGATCTAAATGGCTCAACAGACCAATTTGGAGAGATAAGCCTAGCTTAATGCACATTTCCATGGAAATAGATAAACTACACTTCAACATACTGTGAAAAGATACAACACACTAAAGGTATCCTGGAAACCTCTTCTTCTTACACCACCTCCTCTACCCCTATGCATTCTCACCTTGTCCCATAAAATAGAAACTTTAATCGAAACTTCTACTCTCATTAGGAAGAACTCAACAAAAAAAAATCTTCCACACTTCTCTTTACCCCTTATTGGATTCTCTCCACATCAAGAGAGGCTATAAATGATTGAGGAGTTTTGTGACAGTCTGAAATCCATACACCTACTTTCCCGTATTGAAGTTTTCAACTAGAGGCAATTTTGACTGCCAGGGGCATTTGGAAACGTCTCAAGAAATGTTTTACTCCCATGTTTCAGGGCGGATAGAGACCAGGGATGCTGCTAAGCACCCTATAACACAGAGGACAGTCTGCCACAATAAGGAATTATCTAGTTGGCTGGGCATGGTGGCTCCTGTCTGTAATCCCAGCACTTTGGGAGGCCGAGGCAGGTGGAACACTTGGGGTCAAGAGTTCGAGACCAGCCTGGCCAACATGGTGAAATCCCATCTCCACTAAAAATTCAAAAATTAGCTGGGCGTGGTGGCAGGTACTTGTAATGCCAGCTACTTGGGAAGCTGAGGCAGAAGAATCACTTGAACCCAGGAGGCAGGAGTTGCAGTGAGCTGAGATGGTGTCACTGCACTCCAGCTCCAGCCTGGGCAACAGAGCAAGACTCTGTTTCAAAAAAAAAACATAAAAGGAATAATCCTCTAGTTCAAAATGTCCATGGTGTGGAGGTTGCTACACCACATGGAGATCTCTGCTTCTGCCTGACCCAGTTTCATGTTCTTTCTTCTTATATTGCCTACTTCTACTTTCCATCTCATGAAATTTAAAAAATAATAATAATTTAAATTTAAAAAAAAAAAAAAGCAGGATCTTCTTAAAGTGTTCACCCTCACCTGGCTTGGTAACTTCATCTGCAAGGAGCAGAAGACTCTGCTTGCATGAGTCTTCAGGTCTGGGAAACAATCTCTCTTTTGCTTTAGCTAGTTTGAGTTAAGTCTCTATCCCTCTACTCACTTCAAGGTCTGGCCATACTTCCTAAAACTGACTTCTCTGTGATTCTCCTCAATTTTTCACCACAAATTCCTGAAGCACATTTGAATAGATCTGTTTTCCTTGCAATTAAGCATGCCCTAAGACACATACACACTACATGTAGTTGAAAATAGCTCACACCTGTAATCCCAGCACTCTGAGAGGCTGAGATGGTAAGATTGCTTGAGCTCAGGAGTCGGAGGCTGCAGTGAGCTATGATGGCACCACTGCCCTCCAGCCTGGCCTACAGGGTGAGATCTTGTCTCTAAAATAAAATAAATAAAATATTTAAAAAATCAAAAAATTATAATTTTTTGTGTGAACAACCTCAACATTTCACATCACCACACATAATCTGATCTTTCCTGAATGACTTAGAAGGCGCTTCAGAATAATGCAATGCCTCAGAAATACGTTCTCCAACACCAAGTGTCATTAGAAGATAGATATTTTCCATTTGGCATAATATTATGAGTGGGGAGAATTTTACTGGCATTAGTAAAAAACAAAACAAACAAACAAAAAAACATGAAACTCTTCCCTTAGGAATCTAAATGGTGCTTATACTCTGGTTTTCTCTGGTCTTTTGCCTGATTTAACTTCAGTAAAATACTATAAGAAAACACACATTACTAATATAGGTGTTATAAAGTGCTAGTTAGAAATTACTTATGTCCTCTACTAACCCATTGTTCACAAAACATTTATTAAAATGTTGCTAATATACACGGATCCAGCACAAAGCTAGGGAATAAATACATTATAACTGACCTTGTTAAAAATCTGCCAGTTTCATTTAAAACCTTATTGACATCTGTGTATATGTCTCTCTAAATTATGGTTCCATCATGTTGCAGTTGATCTTTGACCTCTAAAAGGTCATTCTTTCATAAAGATTTCAACCCCATTCAGTTATAGCAGAGACTGAATCCTGAGTCCCCCGCCCACGTCTCCTCTGTCACACACATTCATGGGTGTTTGGGACATTAAGCTATTGCTGCAACTACAATAGTTTCACTTCTTAAAGAGAAATCAATGTGAACAAAGGGATCATGAAGAATTCTGGGTATTTAGTATAAAAAAATTATATCTACCATTCATAACAATACTGATATGTGTCAATTAGACAGATAATGTACAATGAGATAAAAGGCTACTAGGAAAACTGTGATGATGGATAGGTTTTGTGCTTATTTGATTTTTTATTAATATAACATCACACACTAACAGGAGTCCTTGTCTCTTCGCATTTTGTAGCTACAGGAGAATCTTCAGAGGAAATGAAATTTTTTTTTTATTGCACCTCCCCACAATCCTCTGAGCTTCTGGAGAAGCAATGTCAATTATACCATCATTAATGTAAATGGCATTTTAAAGAGTTTGTAAGGCAAACGGAGAATGTTAGTGCCACTCAGAAGTGCCAATGTGCACTGCAGATTTCCCCCTAAAGTCTGCAGCCCATCACATGTCTTTATTCACTCAGATCTAATCCGATCAACTGAGGGGACAGGCCACTGGCCTGCTCTCTGCCTTTGTCACTCAAACTCACCCATTAAAAACAATCCATTTTCTAAAGCTGGACAATGTGGAATACAGGTTTGGCAGCCAAAAGACAAAAATTCCTATATGCAGAGCATGATAATAAGGAGGCTGTTGTCTTTTTTGCTCCATGGGTTATTCTTATTAAAATAAAATGTGTTCCAAAGTGACTCAGAAACATGAAAATCAGCTAGTTCATAAAAAATTATATGGGAGCTTAGGCTTTCAAATTAAGAAAACAAATGTGATAAACATGATCCCAAACTCAGTATAAAAGTGTCCGCTGCCACTAAAATGTCCCCCTTCTATTGTGTTTTCTCATGTTGTAATATTACAAAGAACCTTCTAATTGTGCTATCATGAGAATTTAAATGGTTTCACAGTTGAATCATCTCCACTAATCTTTTGTGTAATGAAAGCTGAA